GAGAGAGAGAGAGAGAGAGATGCAGCATGCAGCATGTAAGTGGCGGGGAGCACAAGGGCAGGCGCTGACCTCCAACAAAAAAAAGAAGTAATTTTATCGGAATACAAGAATTTTTTTTTTTCGAAATCCGAATAGAAAGGGTACAGGTTGTATTCGAATACAACGTGTAGGACTCGCACCGTTTCAATTTCGAAAAAGGACTACCCGCACCGTTTCAATTTCGAAAAAGGACTGCGGCCTCCTACTCGCAGCTACCGGTCCTACGCGGTCCTGGACCAAAACCCGCGGGCAGCTATCGGTCCTGCAGTTTCAAATAAGATGCCACCACCCCCTAAACTGTCATGCCTTGTTTTTTCAGCCTTCCAATGGCCGTATAATGAACGACGACGAAAAATGTTCTCAGGGGCATAAAACGCACCCCTGACGGGCTGCGAATTGAAATGTCTCAAGGGGGTAAACCGCAACCCTGACGGGCTGCCAATAAAACGCACCCCTGACAGGCTGCAAATTCTGATGCGTTTTCTACAAGGGCCAAGGTATGAGCAGGGAATGCGTTTGCAAAGTCTGATCGGAGGCGGAGTCCCAGCCACTCATGCACTCCCAACTATTTTTTCAGTACCTTTCCTAGCCACTTAGTGAAGACGCATTCCTGAGTTCGCAGCCCGTCAGGGGTGCGTTTTATGCCCTGGGAACATTTCGCAGCCCTTAGGCTGCGGTATAGTGGGCTTCCGCGTCTGTGTCAAGGTGTCGCATTTTTGGCGGCGGACGACCAGGACGCAAAGTGGGTTCTTAGGGGGCAAAAAAAATTGGGAGACCGGTCCTTGCCCAAATTGCGGACTACCTACAGCTATCTCTGGTAGAACCGGGACTTTTGGAAAAACGAAGGACCGGTCCTCGGGTGGAAGTGAACCCCAAAAAGAAGTGGGGGGCATTGGACCGGTCCTCAGGTAGAAGCGGACCCTAAAACGAAGTGAGGGCATGTGAACTGCAAAAGGGCCCTTAGGCCCAGGCGTTGAGCCCCGTCTTCTCAAAACAGGGAGGTCAGGCACAGCGAAACAGGTGTTTTGCAAGAGGCAACTTTCGTGATTTTTTGTGCTCAGAGGAACATGCACAAAATATGAAATTTTGAAAATCCATAGATGAGGTCGAGTTCTTTCCAGAAATAATAATAGAACATTTACAAAAAATCATTTAGGCTGCAAAAAAATTGTTGCGCCGATTCAGCACATTTTCCATTTTCGCCACTTAGCCGTGCCTAGGCCAACTAAAAAAGTACTCCAAATCCGGTGAGTTTTCACGCTCAGAGGAATGCGTGAAAAAACCTGAAAATTGGAGTCCTCGTAGATTTTGTTGTGATCTTTCCAGGAAAAATTCCAACTGCGAAATAGATTGCGGCCGCAATTTGACCCATATTTCAATTTTGTCATCCAGCCTCTCTCTCTCTCTCTGTCTCTCTCTTTCTCTCGTATCAACAAATGAAACAAAACTCTCTCTCTCTCTCTCTCTCTCTCTCTCTCTCTGTCTCTCTCTTTCTCTCGTATCAACAAATGAAACAAAACTCTCTCTCTCTCTTAACAGAAAAATTTTCCATGATTAAATAATCATTCTAGAGTAAAATTACATTCTAAATTTTAAATTTTCATTCCATCTTTAAAAATGTCATTCCAATTTTAAAATTTTCCGTCTTACTTGAAAACTTGTCTTCCAAGAATAGGGTATCCCTTCTTATTTGAACTGCATGCTATAGATGGAATGAAAGTCTGGATGAGTTCATGAAATATTTTAATTGGACTGCCATTCTAAATAAGGATTTTCAGTCATAAATAAGTTAATCCAATCTAAATTAGACTTTATTTGTTGTAGTAGAATGAAAGTCTGATTAAAACATTTCATAAACTCATCCAGACTTTCATTTCATCTTGAACAAATAGATGTAGTTGAAAGGAAAAACTCATATTTAGATGGAAACTTATCAAATTAAATTGAAAATTTTAGAATTGGACAAACATTGGACTGATAATTTATAAATATGAAGGATTTTTTTTTTATGGAATGTTTTGTCAACTTTCATTTCTCATGGGAATTTTTCTGTTGCTCTCTCTCTCTCTCTCTCTCTCTCTCTCTCTCTCTCTCTCTCTCTTTCTCTCTCTCGTATCAACAAATGAAACAAAACTCTCTCTTTGTCTGTCAGCACATTTTCCATTTTTGCCACCAGCTATGCCTGGGCCAACTAAAAAAGTACTCCAAATCCAGTGATTTTTCGCGCTCAGAGGAATGCGTGAAAAAACCTGAAAATTGGATTCCTCGTAGATTTTGTTGTGATATTTCCAAAAAAAATGCTAAATAAATTAAAAAAAATCATTCCAACTACGAAATAGATTGCGGGCGCAATTTGACCCATATTTCAATTTTGCCATTCAGCCTCTTTCTCTTTCTCCCTCTCTCTATCTCGTATCAACAAATGAAACAAAACTCTCTCTCTCTCTCTCTCTCTCTCTCTCTCTCTCTCTCTCTCTCTCTCTCTCTCTCTCTCTCTCTCTAGTGTTAGCTCTCAGTCTCATTGATTTGGCTACCTTAGGGCTGCGTTCCCCGCGCCCACGCGGTAGACAATGCGTTTTTTATGCCCTAGGAACATTTTTCGTCGTCGTCACCAAACGGTGCGGTAGTTGGAAAGGTGGTATATTTGTTGGGGGTCCAATTCGTGGGAAATAGGCAGTTCAAGGAAGTGCAGGACCGGTAGCTGCCCGTCGCATTAGGGCCTTGAAATTTCGAATCTGAAATGGCATGGACGCAGGCCCTGTGGTGAGTTAGGGCGGGTTTTTAGGGGGGGCGCTGACTGGAAGGCGCAGGCGGGTCCAATCTTGCAATTTTCGAGCGCCAACTTTGGCAATTTTTCGTACGCAGAATAATTGGAGAAAAGATCTGAAAATTTGATATCGGGTAGGCCAGGTCGTGATCTTTCCAGGAAAAATATTAACAAAATGAAATAAAATCTTTTAGACCATGAAATAAATGCCGCGCCAATTCGTTTCTTTTTCCATTTTTGGCACACGACAACTTGTGGGCCAACGAGAAAAGTACCCCTATTTCAAAGATTTTTCACGCTCAGAAGAACTCGTAAACAAGTCTGAAAATTTGAGGGTCCGTAGATTTGGTCATGATATTTTCAGGAAAAATGTTTTAAAAAATTAAAAAAATTATCTCAACTGTGAAATAGCTTATAGCGCAAATTCATCCCATTTTTCATATTCACCATTCTGCCGGTTCTCCACTTTGTGCTACTGGTAGCCCTCATGGACCTGTGCCACCGGTCCCCCAAATTTCCAACGTCGGGTAGAGTGGTGGTTTGAATTCGAAGCCTGTCGTGGTCGAAATCGAAACAGGCCAAAAGCAGCGGCGGCCGCTCCCGTTCCCTCTGCGTTCACAAAGTGATAGTCTCCCTGTGTGCGCGGGGACTATGGTGCCTTATAGATCGAGGCGTTTTGACAAAGTGGCGCCTCGCTTGATTCCTCTCTTTCTCTCTCTCTCTCTCTCTCTCTCTCTCTCACACACACACACACACACACACACTTGACAAAGTGGCGCCTCGCTTGATTCCTCTCTTTCTCTCTCTCTCTCTCTCTCTCTCTCTCTCTCTCACACACACACACACACACACACGTCCACAACAACATCAACAAACAAACTACGGGCTGTGCACCCGTGCCCTCACGGTAAGTCAATGGTTGTCCAGTTTCTCCAGACTATGGCAGTGCCATGCATGTCCTGTTGGGAAGAGGGGAAAAAGAGACCGATCAGACCGTCTATGGACACTAAAGGGGGTCAGTGTCAGGGATATTTTTGTCTCTCGCCAACCTAAGCGGGCCGTTTCTCCGATTTCCCTTTCGGGCGCTCTCACACGGACTTTTTCGTACGTGGCGGCGAGCACGGTATGCTACATCACTGGCACTTTCATTTACCAGTACGCTATAGGGAAGTTCCCTGGATGAGATCGAGAGATTGGTCGCGATCCGGCGACCTTTTAAATTGCACCGCACACAACACCCACTGTATGTAGCGCAGTTTTTTCAGGTACTTCTCGCGAGCGTGTGCTCGACCATGTCATATGTGTGTGTGTGTGTGTGTGTGTGTGTGTGTGTGTGTTTGTTTGTTTGTGTGTGTGCGTGTGTGTGTGTGAGAGAGAGAGAGAGAGAGAGAGAGAGAGAGAGAGAGAGAGAGAGACCTACAACTTCATTCAGTCAGGGAGAGGAGTGTGTGTGTGTGTGTGTGTGTGTGTGTGTGAGAGAGAGAGAGAGAGAGACGATCAAGCGCTGACCAACAACTTCATTCAGTCAGGGAGAGGAGACGAAGAAAAAAGCACGCGAGTGAGGGATGGAAAGGCTGTGCGTGTGTGTATGTGTGTGTGTGTGTGTGTGTGTGTGTGTGTGTGTGTGTGTGTG